AGAAAGAAAGAAAGAAAGAAAGAAAGAAAGAAAGAAAGAAAGAAAGAAAGAAAGAGAGGCAAACCCTGAATTAATTGCAGAGAATTGTTCCGAGGTTTCCAAGTTCCATATTATAGTCTTAGGCCCCTAGCTGATAACCATTTTTAAGGCCATGTTGTAAACTAAAGTCAATTGTTGCCTGGTTCCTATTATTACATTTATGACTGTAATATAATGCTAGCCAGTAGCCAATTGCTATTATTTCAGGCTGAATGGGGAGGAGAAAACAAGGGGGAAGAGGAGGAGACTATTAAGAATTTCAGCACTCTTACAATTTGTACAAATTGTCCCTGTGAATACCATCTGAACAAATAGCTTAACTCTGCCACATAGTCGTTATCTGTACTATTCAGGCAGTTGCATTCCAAAAATGAAAAATCCAGAAGGTTGAAGGGAAATTATTTATATCTTTGACAAACAGCAAGAAGTGACATGTTATATCTTAAACTGCCCAAACCTATGAATATTCACCATGAAAATCCCATTGAATGTAATATTACTGGTTTATTTGTTGGCTTCCTTGCTTGGCATACTGCCAACTATTGAAGTCTCTTGACAGTTATAATAAAAATAAATGTAAAATAAAGACATTAAAAACAGAATAGCAATTAATACCAACAAAAGAAAACAGAATAGCAATTAATAGCAATGAAAACAAGCACCACACATAATATTATAATAATTAACAATTCAAACAAAATTAAACATCTGTACAAAAGATGTGTTTCAAGGGCCTTTCTACAAGCTAAAGATATGGGGTCTCTTCTGCAGGAAGGCATTCCAAGGAGTTGGGCAGCAACAGAGAAGGCCCAACCCCAAATCCTGCTAGATAAACTGGCAGATAAAGCTATAGATGAACCTCCTCAGAAGACTTCAGTCACATAGAAAAAGGCATGCTCTCAGCTAACTTGGAACTAAGCCATGGATGCTTTAAAGCACTATATATTTTGCCCTGAAATGGATTGGCAGCCAATACAGTTCTTTAAGCACAAGTGTAACAACTTATGCCAAGAGATTCTTTGTATTCTTCCTGAGATCTGCTAAGTTTTGTACGAACTTTTCCCCCAGGCACTGGGGCCCGGGTGCAGATGGAGCCAGCATGGAGTATGGTGGATGGATGTAAGTTTTATTGGAGCCTCAATGTTGTTTTATTTTTATTTTTATTTTAAATTATTTATATTGTGATTTTGATTCTTGTTTGCTGCCCATCTGGTAGATGGGCAGCGATATAAGTTAAATAAATAAATAACTGAAGTTTCCAGCCCCAGCCTGGCACCCGCCAAATACATTAGAATACAGTCTCATCACCCCTACTTGTGTGCCAGTATTGAGTGAGAATAATGGGAAATATAGTGAAAACCATCTGGTGGCTGCTAAGTTAGAGAAGTTTGGGTCAAAAGATAAAAACAGAAGCTGCTAATATCTGTCTTGTACTAATTTCTCCCTCCCTACTCATCATTAGCTTTGGTGGAAGTGTAGTACCCCCAAGAAAAAATAGCCTTACAGCCACTGGGGCTGATTTTAGTAGAAGAAAAAGATGCCATGTCTAAATCAGTATAAGACAAGCTCTACTTCATGCAATGCATTTGAAGAAAAGTTGCCAACTGAGACTGGGGTATCAAACAGACTTGTTAATTTTATAAAACTGTGAGAAATGTCATCATTAGCTCCTCATTTCTGTTCCTTCCCCAGCCTTTTGAACTCTCTACTTCTGATAAGACACCTCTGAAAAGCTGGTCACTAGAGAAAGTGGGAAACAGTAGAGGAGAAGAGAAGAGACTGAGGGAATAAGTCATCTTTCTCTTCATGGCATCAGGAGATTTGAAAATTTGTATAGTTCAAATAAGTCAAGGACATTCTTTGGCCAGCATTTCCCAGTCTGGACCCATCCATCAAGATCTGACCAATACACTTGGAGGAAAGTTGGTGAAAGTTGATGGACATTTATTGGGTCAATTCATTCTGTCCTTATATTCTTTGGGTAAATGCAGAGGGAATATATAGAAACTATCACAGTTCTTTCCTGACAACAACCAGTTGCACAGCTGTGCTACTGGAGTTTAATTGCAGGATTTTAAATAATGTCTTGCCCCCCAAACAATGGATTGATATATTCTCTCTCTCTCTCTCTCTCTCTCTCTCTCTCTCTCTCTCTAATTTGGCCCATCAGAATGCCTCACTTTTTATCATATATCTTTCTTTTTTTTTGTATGTTTTGTATCTCTAGACTCTGGGTGGCTCACAACAATATTGCATCAATCAAATCTTCTTGCAATAAAATCATAAAAACTACAGTATAAGGCCACTTAGTCACTGAACAGCAAAAAAGACAAAACTATAACCTCCAGAGCCAAAATAGCAGCCAACATTCCTTCAATTTATCCTCCAAAGTCTTGACAAAAGAGCCTAATCATTTACTAAGAAGCTGACCAAGAAGACTGGCCATATTTCCAACATTTAATTGAAGCAATGTTTCATTGACCAAGAACTCCATGAGGCACTTTGCCACAGCAATAGCTTCATGGACCTGCCTTCTGAAGTTGACCACCAAATCTACACACCTTTAATTAATAAACAGTAATATACTATCAACAGCCATGGTTTTCCACAACCATTAAACTGCCACATTTTTTAATATTATTTTTACTTTAACAAAGATCAGAACACTTTGCATTCCAGATGATGTTAGAAATCCTACATGCAGACTGCTTTACTTTTCTCAAGATTCAGTGCAATTTAAATAACCCAACTTATTCATGACAAAACTATCCACAGCTGCTTTTCCCATCATCATTGCAGCACCCTATTTCAGCACAGTTACACCTCTTTACCTATGATTCTGTTGGATGGCTTCAGTTAACTGCCCATATTTCTCAAGAGTTCTGCTCTTATTTAAGAACAGAAGAAATTTTGCACAGGATACTATAAACTGTGCCAGTCTTCCTAAGCAAAGAAAAAAATGGAGATAAGATGTTTCTGCTTACTTTCCCCTGGTAGTTTCAAAGCTGGGGGTTTTGTTATCTTTAGACTGCTTGCGGCTGTTGCTGCTGTAGCCTGACTGCCTGGAAGATCTGTTCACATCTGGTCCTTTAGTCATTTCCTTTTCAAGGGGACCCTTTCTGGGACTGATCTGTGCTGCAGTCCCTCCAGTCTTAGACAGGATCAATGTCTTGCTATTTGTAACACCACCATCACTGTCATTTTCTCTGCTAGGAGTTTTAAGAGTGACATTTTCTCCTTGCTGTGTTGTAGCTGGAGTTGGTGAGACTTGAATGTCCTTCTGGGCTACAAAAGTGCTATGTTTTATGTCCTGTTCATCCTGTTTTATATTCAGCAGAGGTTTCTCTGAGGAATATGATACCGATGGTGTTGCCTGCACATCTCCAAGGCTCTGAATTTCAGGAATGGTCAAGCCAGGATGATTTACTTCCACTGTATTAGAATCCAAAGTTGTGACCAAGGCTGGGTCAGTTGAGTTGGTTTCTGTGCTGCATTGTTCCAAGGACAATAAAAGTAGTATTAAAAATATCTCCCACATTCTCTTGGCTTGCAAGAACATCGGTATATCTTTCATATCATCCTCAGCAGAGGCTGTCTAAGCTCCTTCACTTTGTGCTGTTGCTTTCACAATGAATCTGTAGCAAATGCTGAATTGTGAGATTGTATTTGTGGTAGAGAAAGGAAACAGGTTTTGAGTATTTGAAACTAGACGGAGGAAGCTCCGTTTCCTGTTTCTATGGATTCCTCTGTGTCCTGTGACCTCTTGGAGCTTTGGAAGCAAAATTCCTTAGAGGAAGATTATACCAATTGTCTTTGTTGAAGCTAGAGGATGGGGAATGGCATAATGTGAACATGGAAATATGCTGTCAGTGAAATCAATTCAAGGCAGATGGGTGGGGATGTTGAGTAACTTCCCTTTCACATTGATTAGCTGCAGAGAACATGAAGGACCTGTCCAATGTCCCACTTGCATAATTTCATATGTCATTCTATGGCGTAAGTAAATCTCAAGTTACTTCTTCATCAACTGTTATCTGTTTTTATCTCAACCCCACAATGTCCTATCTGTAGATCTGTTCATGTTTATTTCATCATTCTTCCAAAACTCAATATGGTGTTCACTGTGTTTAATATACTCTATTCACTCCTTGTAACAGCACTATGAAATAGAGAATAGAAAAACAGCAACTAGCCTGAGTTGAACCCAGATCCCTTACTCTGAGGGTCTTCTGCCACTATAATTTTAATTTTCTACCACTAGGAATGCTTCTGTGTATGTTTTAGTCTAGGATGGTTGGTGCCACACACTAGTTTTCTCCATTTTGCATGGCACAATTGTATCATATTTTTGTTTGAACAAGGCTTTGATTCTTTAGGGAAAGGATACATGAAATCCCTTGTTATCTTCCTAGAAAGGTCTTACTTCTTCCATGTGCTTCAAGTGAGATTATCCAAAAGGCTGACATTTAGCACATGATGCATGTGGCTGCACCCAACACTTGCTGGGGGTTGAAATACCCGTTGCTGCTACCGATCTTTCCCTATCCCCATGTTTTCCCTAACTTACTTTCCCCAACCAAGCTAGCACAGGAACCATCTATCTCCTAGATAAAGTGTCATATTAACTTGGAGGAGAACACAGAGAATACAAGTTCTCAGCGTGCCTAATGGAACTGTAACAGTAATGCATCAATTTTGTCCAAGAGGAGTTTCTGTTTCATGAAAGTAGATGTGAGTCAAACTGACCGACATTGTTTCAAGGGGAGTTTACCTACCACTGCAAATTACCTTCAGAATAATTTCACAGTATTAAAAGTAATAGGATTGGTAAACCCCTCCAACTTTGGGAAGACCAAGTATATCTATCATTGCTGTGAGCACTATTTTTCATCTTGGACACCCATTTTTATCCGCTGGCTATAGCTCCAGGTGCAAAATCATCAGAAAGGTAACAAGCATGTTCCTGGTTACTATGAAGTGATGTGAGTGGCTGTATGCATCTTGCTAAAACTTGTAGCACATCAACTAATTGTAACTGAAAGGTAGATATCTCTGAGTGAATCTGGGCAGCTGCTGAGGCAAGATCCTGTTATCTCTGCTGTTAGTGCAAAGGTTCCCCACATTTCAGCAGCTGTCAGCATCTCATTAACAGCTCTTCTTGTGAACAGGCAAGACATAAACAACTCAGATTAGCTGGACAGAGCTGCTGTGCTAACTTACAACTGTAACGCTTAATAACATGCCAGGCAGGACTGGAAAGACGCCAAGGCAGTGACAATTGAGCCAGACATCCTGAATCCCTTGTGTTTACATGGCTGTGCTTTCCCTGTGCTTTGTAGCCTGTATTATGCCTTCACAGAAGGTAATTTCTATGGAGCTGATAGGATCAGGGTGCTCTTTGGTAGTCTAGAAAGGGGGAAGCAGGCACTCATGAAACAGCAGAGTCAAAGCTGAGACCCACAGCTAATTCAGGGCAGCAGATCAACCATTCTGGTCAAAATCAATTAGTCTTTGTTTCAAGAACATTTTCATGAGACCTGATAGGAGTCATAGGCCTGAATTTAATTATGGAAAACAGAAAGCAGGTGGAAAGTATTCACCCAGTTTTGGAAAGGAAGGAGATATCGCTGGTTTAATCATCCTCTGTCTTGGGGGAGCCAATAATTTAACTTGAAATCCAGAAAAAGTCAAAGAGGTGGAATCTTTGGAGCATTTGTTAGGCCTTGACAACAAGCCTATGACAGGTGATGAAGAGCATAAAAGCTTTGTGATCAGGAGCAATGCTGATTTTTCGAAGTCTCTGCTTATTAGACCTTTCTACTAATGTCAACTGATGGGAAGTGAACAACAAAACAGTCTAAGGGGATTGGTTCCTTCATTCTAAGAAGGACTTTATTATTATAGTAACAGGAGGAATAAGACACACAGCAAGTTTCTTTTCCAAGGTCTATTGGCCTAGACCAGTGTTTCTCAACCTTGGCAACTTTAAGATGCATGGACTTCAACTCCCATACTGGCTGGCAAATTCTGGGATTTGAAGTTTACACATCTTAAAGTTGCCAAGGTTGAGAAACACTGGTCTAGAATTATAGAATTACTGAATTGAAAGTGACCATGGAGATCCTTTAATTCAATTTCCAGTCACAGCATTCCTGACACATCATTGACTGGGGGGAGACCCTCTAGTGACGGAGAGCCCTTCCTAAGGTAGATTGATGAACATTCCATGGTTGATGAATTCTTACTGTTAGCAAGTTTCAATTTTACTGAAATCTGCTTCCTTGAAATTTCTTGTTGTGCCACCCTTTTTGCAAGCGTCACTTCTGTGCATAACTTTCATTGAATCATGAAATAATTAGAAAGGACTATTTAGGCTATTGTCCAACTCTTGGCTCAGTGAAGGAATTCAAATTAAAGTATCACTGACAAATACCTAGCCAGCCTTATCTTGAATAGCACCCAACAGGAAGAGTTTATCACCTTCCTGCATAATTGGTTCCACTCTCAAACTGCTCTTACTGTAACAAATTACATTGCTGAATTCTGAAAAATGCAGTTTCATTATGCACATGTGCCCCTGATATATTTGGGACTTGCAGAACTGATACATTCATATAAAAATTCAGATGGAACTAAATTCTCATCTATTCTAGTGAGGAAATGATGGTGTTTGTATCAAGGAAAGGACATGACATGTGTATGTCAGGATGGTACCAAGATATAATTCTGGTGTTTTCTGGCATAGAGATGAAAGCCTTGTACACTTAATAGTATATAAAAGAATAGAAATTCATATGCAGGTGGTATATTTTAATACAATTTCAAACACCAGGGAATCATCAGATAGACAAAACGCCTTATGCATCTTTATTTATTTACAAAATTTTAGAGTATCAATCTTTACAAGAGTTTCTTGGCAATTTACAATTAGATAAAAGATTTAGAACTGTATAAGGTATTAAAAATTAAAATAGAACCATGAACAGCAACCACTAAGAATACTGTTTTAGAAGAGTTAAAGAACCGAACAGTTAAAACCTTGGAGGAACATAGGTATATTTACTGTGCAAGTTCTCACATAATCACAAAATCTGTGTTACTTATACCCAGTCTTTCCCACTATGATGAAATCTGTTGATTTTTTATTCAAAAAATAAGTAAGATCATCTATAAATTAGTCTGAAGAAATCTTATGCAACTATGTTCTCTCTTTTGTCCTCTTTTGTATTTTTCCCTTTCTGGTGTAAGTTCAAAGAAATATACACAACTCTGACAAAGCTTTGAAGATAACAGGAGTTTATATCCAGGAATTAAGCCAAGATTCAGCATATTTCAACAGAGTAATGCTCCCCTCCCCAATTTTTATGAAAAAGGAAGTGAAAAATTGTGAATTTGTGAAATGCATGAAATAGATGGTATATGGCTGAAATCATTGCACCACCCTAACCCAGAAAATGTCTAAAGACCATTGTTTGAGAAAGAGAACTAGTTTTGTAATTTACATGAAGAAAGGGTACAAGATTTTCTATGAAAGGCCTTGAATTTTCCACCCTGCTGAAAAATATGATAAGTGTCTATAGTTTTATAATTCAAACAAAGTAACCCTTGATTCTGATAATTTGGGGAGAGTAGCCTGCATTTGGAGACTCCATTTCAGGAAAGTCCCAGGGGAAGCACATTTATAATGAAAACACAGACCAAACAGAATTATATCTTCTTGCAAGTCATGTGAGTTGCCTTCACTGTGAAGAGTTTAAGAAATCAGATTAGAGTGCATAAAAATGCTACTTTGCTTTCACTTTTCTATGTATAAAAATATCAGAATGTGGAGAGTAGAGTAAAGGGAATTAAAATCTTGTCCACTCTACTTCTTTGCCGAAGCATGAGACTGGCCTGCTGACTATTTCTTGAGGAACAGCCCTCAATCTGTTCCCACAAAGGCAACCTCCATCTTATCCTACTTTGTATCAAAAGTAGTGTTCTCTGACTTCTACAAAAGCACAACAGCTCCTTCCTTCCTTCCTTCCTTCCTTCCTTCCTTCCTTCCTTCCTTCCTTCCTTCCTTCCTTCCTTCCTCAGATGAAAGATTGAGAGTTCTGCCAGTTTTTCCTTCTAGATCAAGTAGAAAGGAAGAATGGTTCACTGGTGGCTGCGCTGGATGGCAAGGTGTCACCTACAAGGGAAAGTCGACCCAGAGAGGTTCATGCAAAGAAACTATCCATGGAAACCACATGTTCTCAAAGACTCGCTCCATGGAAAGGAAATTGATGCTTGATTTATTGGGACTCTGAGGCATTTTGAGTATGTGTCTGAGCATTCCTGAGAGGAGGAATCTGACCTATGTAATGATTAATGAAGCAAGTTTTATAACTATAAGAGGAAAGAAAAGAGTTGTTTAAGGAACCAGATTATAATGCTAGGCAAAGCTTACCATCTAGCTAACTACATCCTACCAGGAGGAGAACCAAGTAAGATTTATTCCATGGTGTGTATATCCAGAAACAAAGGAAGACAAATCCCTTAGACAAAGAGCAGGCAGAGGGACAAACAAAGAATATACAAAATACATTCTTAATTCTCTGCCTAGAATTCAGGGTCCCCTTAGATCAGTGTTGTCCAAACTTGGCCACTTTAAGATGAGTGGACTTCAACTCCCACGGCCGGCTGGGGGATTCTTGGAGTTGGAGTCCCCCCCTCTTAAAGTGGGCAAAGTTGGAAAACCCTGCCTTAGATCATGAGATGCTGAGGAGCCAGTACCACTGAAT